TCTTTAAAATCATGAAAAAATGTTTAATCTGTTCAGTCCACTGTTCATACATGATCACTCAAACTGAGAACAAACTTTAAAAATGGATGACAGCTTGGACACAGCTGTTCTGTGTGGCAGTGGTCAGTTGTCCGTTGAAACTGTGTGATGATACACTTCAACGTTTTCTGAAAAAACAGACTCAATACAAGGCAGTTATGTCCATAATTGCAGTGTACGTGGACTTGTGCTTGTAATGTAACAGTGCTACTGCAGCTACCTTGCTCACTGATGTAGAGCAGTGGTTTAACTTTTGACCTGTTGCAGATACCTGCCAGTCAATCAGAAAGTATTATTTTTGAATAAAAAAAAGAGAATTTGCTGTAGACAAACCTATACTTGGATCAAGAATAAGAAATTTGCAATTTAGATTTCCTGAGTGAAAAGTAAATAAGGTCACTGGGAGATGCCAAAGTCATGAATAGTCAAATTTGCTTTACATAGTGGCTTTAATTGTAATAACAAACAAGACATAAGTTAAAATGAGTTAAAAACTATACTATTTTCTCCCTGGTGGCTGTTGCTGCAGGGCTGTCAGCTTCTTTTCTTCCTGACACACAAAATATGTGCCTACCATAGACTATTGAGCATGTAGAGCACACAAGGTAATGAGCCTTCATTTTGATTGAGTTTGATTTAAACTTTTTTGTGTAGCCTTACGTACGGATTCATGTCTACTTTATGTGTTGCAATTGTGATGGAAGATTTCTATGATTAATCGGGAGAAGGGTGGAAGTTTTCAATCTGGATCAATAAACAGAGTCTCGAAAGAATCAAAGTTGTTGGTCTTTATTGCAATAAAGAGAGAGCAGTCCCAAAAACACGTATCTCAGTGTACTGTGAGAAGGCTTCTGAAAGGTGTAACATTCAACATCATTTATGCATACAAAAGGTTCATGCCTTACAAATTCAGATAATGTGGCAAAAGGGGAGTACAATTATTTCAGACAGGATGTCTGTTTCTGAATCATTCAGTTTCTGGAGTCAAGGTCTCTCTGTGTCTTTCTCCTAAGACAAAGACACAGTGTCTCTTCACTTCTCATCCTTCATGGGAAGAGATAACAAGACACCTGGATACAAAACTAATTAAAAAACATCGCCTGACTACGAGTAGTACATTCTTTAAAACTAAGCATGATACAATGATATATTTTCCCATCACACAATGCAATAACGATGTAATATTTCTTAAATAAAATGTAATAAAGTGATGACTCATTTCACCACATGCTGACTGAGGTTCCTGCTTTAACTATTAACACAAATGCAAACTCTGCTTCACACTCAGACAGATTGAAATCAGTGGTTAAGTGAGGTAAAACATTGATTTTCTCTGGATTAGAGAAATGCCAAAGGTTGTCTTGACCAGGTCTTAGAGCCAAGTTGGCTTAATTCTTGGTCGTCTGAAGGCGTGTGCATCTGAGGATTTTCTTCTTCTCTCGGTTTCAAAGGATTTTGCACACAGTGGGAGGCCACAATGAAGTTCGAGAACATTTTAGCCGACATTAATGGATTTGGAAGATTTCAAAAAATGATCATTGTGATCAGTTTCATTGGCCGCTTCACAATGCCCTGCCACTTCATGCTAAACAACTTCATAGCGGCTATTCCTTCTCACCACTGCGACATCAGCTCTCTGGATGACGAAGGTTTTTTTAGGAATTTATCCCAGGCAGAAAGGCTTGCTGTAAGTATTCCAGTCGAGGAGGATGGGAGTCTGAACTCCTGTCAGATGTTTGCAGAGCCTCAGTATCATCTGCTGATCAACTCTTCCAACATGACTGATCTACCCACAGTGCCGTGCCAGAATGGGTGGGTGTACGATAACACCACCTTCAAGTCTACACTGACCTCACAGGTGACCTTAATTTCTTGTCATTAGTAAAAATAATCAGATGAAATAAAATGTACTTGTTCACCATCATGACCTCCTTTTAGGGAGAAGTCACTCATCAACCCTCTTTCTTTATTTGTCTGTTTAAGTGGGACCTGGTGTGTGATAGAAGAGGGGAAAACAAAGCAACTGCTACCATCTTCTTTGTTGGAGTGATGTTTGGTGCAATAACTTTTGGAAGTCTGAGTGACAGGTATTGCAGCTTGGCTCCTTGACATTCAGCTTATTACTTTGATTATCAAGTGTTTCAACCAATCAGTAAAATCAAAATTTGGAAACTCTCTGACTCTCCATAGGTTTGGCCGAAGGATCATGCTGCTGGTGTCGTATGTGTCTGGAATGCTCATTGCTATTGCAAGTGCTTTTTCTACATCCTATGTGATGTTTGCAGTGCTGAGGTTCTTCACTGGGTTTTGCATCACCGGCATCGTCATTGTCACAACAGTCCTCAGTAAGAATATATTTCAATTTCTGTTGTAAGCTGTTACATGTTTTCTATATCATAGCAAGTTCAGAGGCCTAGGCTAGCAAATGTAGGTGTACAAAAAATAAATTTGTTTCTCTGAATTTTGATCCCTGCAATGTGATGAGGTGTTTGTTTTTTGCAGGTGTGGAATGGGTGGACATCGAGCATAGGAAGCTGGTTGGAGTCATCGACAGCTTATCCTGGACATTTGGGAACACAGTTTTTGCAGCTATTGCTTATTTTGTGACTGATTGGCGGTGGCTAATTGTTAGTGTCACCTCACCTCTAACCTTGGCCATTATCACCTGGAGGTAGGACTGAATAGCTCAGATCTTTTCATCAAACAGAAGTCCTCTACCATGAGCCCTGGAGACATTGTGTTTTGGGGTGCCCAACATTTGCATTGGTTGAGGATAAACGTTGGGGGGAAAAAAACTATGTAGTTCGCACATGAATATTGCAAACTCTGAAAAATGTTATAAGACAATGTTTAAACTATCAAAGGCTCATCTTCCAAAAGTTTAATGCCGGTTTAAGATCAAATGTGTGAGAGTGAATACAAAGTCAACTTTAGTTGTAGCTTAAGACTGCAAATTTTAAAAGTAAAAACTAATTTGGGGATGTGGAGTTAGAAAAAAAGGGAGGTAGCCTGACCTCTGTAGCCTGCTCCTCGTCTGCTCCCTTAGCTGCTACTAGCATAACGCACTTGAATCTCCAACTGAACTGTTGCTGTCCAGTTCCATCGTGGGTAAAATATCGCTTTTGACTGAAGAACAACGCATGGAATAGAAAAAATGATATCTGTTATCCATTTCTTTTAACTGACCATCGTGAGCCCTAGGTTAGAGGACTGCAACATTAACTTGCAGTATTCAGTGTGCAGACTATTTCTCTTTTGCCTTTGTATGCTACTTTTGTGCTGTGCTTGTACCCGACGGGGATTAGATACATAGATTAGGTACATCATTTACATCAGGTTTGTTTTTAATGTAAACATGCAATGAAATAATGCAATACATTAGATGTAAAAACAAAATGTCTGCTTTTAACATTAGGTGGATGCCAGAGTCAGCGAGGTGGCTCATTGCTAATGGAAAGCTGGAGCAAGCTCAGATGTATTTGAAAAAATGTGCCAAGATGAACGGAACAGCGGAGCTAATTGACACACTTAAAATAGAGGTTGGCATATTCCAGATGACGGTTACATCAAGATAATTAACGAAGTGGGCCTGCAATCTTACAGATTACAATTAGTTTGAGTTTTCTAATACACTATTATAGATGTTAATCCTTTACATTTTGATCACAGGCTTTAAAGAATAATGCTGCTTTGCATTCTTTCAGACACTGTCGACTATTGTTGTAACCGAGAAGAGAGATCGGCCTTATTCATACTTCGATCTGATACGAACACCCAACATGAGGAAACTGGCACTATGTACTGGTACAGTGTGGTCTGTATTCCCAATGCCATTGTGCTCAATGATTTTGGGTTGTATTACATTTTAAACGATCCAGGTGAATAGTTCTGACTGTATCTAAATAAACTATCAATTTTGCTTAATGAGTCTCCACTCTCTCTTCCGTTAGGTTTTGCGTGGCAACTGCATTTTACGGCATCAGCTTCAACATCACAGGCTTTGGGCTCAACATCTACCTCACTCAGTTTACCTATGCTGTCATTGAGCTGCCAGCCAAAGTATCAGTTTACTACTTACTGGATAAGATAGGCAGGCGAAACACTGAGGTGGGAACTCTGCTAATGGCTGGCGTCTGTCTTGGAATCAACATTGTAATACCTAAAGGTAAGCATTCATTGACGTCCACAGACTTGGGGCCTACAGGTTTATGATATTTTAAAATGTAACTGTTTTAATAACAGAGATTACTCAGTATACACAATATATATTGAATAGTAGTGTTTTCATTACTAACTGCACTAACTGCAACAACAAAAAGCCATCCCTCAATTACTGACATCTTGTTTTCAGATATGTCTACTGTCAGAACGGTGGTGGCAGTCATTGGAAAAGGGTTTTCTTCAGCTTCCTTTGCAACTATTGTGCTCTACAGTTCTGAGCTCTATCCCACTGTCATAAGGTAACTATATCAACACTGCAGGACATTGAATAAATAAGATTTTTTTCAACCTAAAAGTAATAAAAGCATCATTTAGAGCCCTAAAGTTAGTCTCCTGTGTTTTTTTTTTTTAGGCAGAACGGCATGGGTTACAACTCCTTCATGGCTCGACTTGGTGTAGCTGTGGCTCCTTTGATTGTCTTACTCGATGAGGTGTGGAAGGACCTGCCCCAGGTCATCCTGTGCTCTGCAGCTGTACTGGGGGGAATAGTGGCAAGAACGCTATCAGAGACATGCAATAGGTGCCTGCCAGAGACCATAGAGGATATTGAACAGCAGTGATAGCGAACACTGTCAAGCTGTTATTTTTAGTTTAAAAAAAACTTGAGATGACAGTATACGTACAACTTCATTTTCTGTTTGTATGTCAATTACCTTCAGTTTTCCTTGGATATTGGTTGGTTGAAAGTATATTTGGGGAGGTCTGGGCTCTTTTAACACTTAAATTAGCAGCAGCACTATTTACAGTAAATAGAAAAATACTTAGTGGTATAAGGCAGTGGCTTCCAACCTTTTTTGGCTCATGTCCCTTTATAACCATGTTATAACCCACAAGTTACTTCCCGAGTAGTTAAGAGTGATGTTCCCTTGTCAGATGTTGTCCAGTGTTTTAAAAATGCAAGATTTTAAGAAATGTAAACAATTTTGTCAGGAAGTAATGTTTATTTTCTGTCTTGTTTTTAATCTGTTATGCCTTAAGTTTTTATCACTGTGATCCCTCTGACTCCCAGGTTTGTTACCAGTTATAAGGTGAATTATAATTGAATATCTACATTTCTGACAAAATAAAGTATGTTAATGAAAAGCGCTTTGGATCTAATTCTGTTTCCTAAACTTAAACCAGAACACATTTTCCTTATTTTATATGTAGAGTGCATCATAAGCCGAGATCCACATTAGGTAATACATAAAACAATTGAGCTGAACAGTGGCTGCTCAGAACTTTTAAAAAGCACAAACAAATAAATATGTAGTAAAGGAGAAATAATGCTCATTTCCAGGTTCATGCTTGTATTTTGTGTTTCTACTAGAACATGTTTACATGCTTAATGTAAACATTCAGATACACTGCAACAGGAAATAAACTGGAACATATTTAGAAGGTTTACGAGTAATACTGTGAAAAGTGAGTTTTCACAATATGGGACCTTTAAGATATTAAAATACTGGAAGTGTAGTATTGTGCAACAGTTATGGTACTACCCCGTGTTATGATTGATCATAAACCAGTCTGAAGAATTGTTCACATATTTATATCAAGCAAATTTGAACTACCAAATCAGTATCCCAACAACACTCCACTAGGGACCACACTACCTTTGGAATAACAGACTTTAGTAATTAAGATGTGCACAGAAATTAAGTCAAAGCTCCTTTATTAAAGAAACAAAGCAAGCACATCTTTTTTTATGACTCAGCAATCCACTAAAGGAAAGTCAACCACATCTAAATGACATGTTTCTGATACTCCTTTTGAAAATCTTTATAGCCAGGTCTAATATTTGCCGCTGATATTTCATCTGACATTACACTTAGTTACATAATGAACATTGATGGGAAAAAGAAACAAAACAAAACAAAACAAAAAAAAGCAAACAAAATATAAAAATCAAAATGTCAAATTTTAAACATTAAGATACAATGATACAGAAAGATCTAAAAACAAGTACCAAGTTGTTTCCAGGACACTTCTTGGCTATTGTTCAGTACTGGGAATACTCCTTGCTCTCTAGTTTGGCAACGATTCGCTCCAGCTGTCTTTTTGCCTCACATTGTGGGAAGTTACTCATTTCATAGTACTGGGGTGCGATCTTCACCAGCCTGTAACAGAAGAGAGAAGACCATGAATGAATCCGTCAGGAGATCATGTACAATCACAGCTCAGTGCCGTGCCCGTGCAAAACATGCTTGTTCGGAACGGACCGAATGCTCGGCCTGTGGTGTTGCAGCTTTCTCGAGAACCACTCATACAAACAACTTCACACACGACATCCTGCTTCCACAGCAATACACCTGCCATGACGGCCCAAGTCGCTGACACATCATGCTGGACTCACCCTACCCCCCACCCCGCTGCTGCACAGAGTGCTGTTGGCTAGTATATTCAAAGTGTATCAATATTGAATGCGTCGCGTGAGTAAATTGTACAAAATTCAACAATGAACGTCCTCTGGTCTCCAGCAATGTACAGATGAACGGTTCTCGAGATAAGCGTAGGACATACCATACAAACATGCATACAATCCTTGCTTTTCTAGTTAGATGAACCTGTATTACAAAAAGTTAAACATCTTTGCACACATACCACTCTGGTTTGATGTCTGTGCACGTGCGGATGTAGTTTTTGGTGGTGAGGACAAATTCATTGTAGAGCACCCACTCGGGCTTGTGGTCCAGGACTGTAGATGGGTGCAGTTGGACCACTTGGTTGTCTTTGACTGTGAGGTAATGACCTGTGCGCTCCAAATGAGCCACCTGGAGGATTAAAGGATATATTAATTAATGTAGACTTCCACAGGCACAGAGAGACGCAAGTCCGCAAACATCTGTGGTGCAAACTTAAGTCATATCCTGTAAAAAACATCATGAATGATGTCTTTAGATCAGCTTACCGACTTAAACATTTGCTAATCTGCGTTTACCTGCATGAAGAAGCCGGTGCAGAGCGCTCTGCGGATGTTGGTGTAGTAATCTCTGCTGGTGAACTCTGTGCTACGACGGGGCAGGTTGAAGCGGTCCATGATCCTGGACAGCTGCTGCCGTACGTTGTCGGCAGACATCAGTGAACGGTAGTTGACAAAGTTGTCATAGCACCACTGGTTAGCCTCGTGGTCTGCAAAAAAGTATGACAAAAATTCAGACATTTGCTGAAAGAAGGCTCTCCTTGTTTCTCATCTCATCATTTCAATGTGTCATGGCCATTTGGATATAAGCTGGTAGGCAAACGCTGCTTTGTTTCATGCATGTGTCATAACAGCTTATATATCCACAGGCCTCGATCCACATTAGCTGGTGCAGAACATCTTTCCTTCTTGGGGTCCACACAAAGCATAAAAACATGACAGCAGATAACACTTAAAGACAAAACGACGTGAGGCACCTCAACAGTCGGCCTTTGTCGCCGCTAGTTTGTTGATGTGGGTGTGGTGTGTCGGGACCTGTGTACGTATGAGCATGATTTTGTGACATCACAACTGGTTTGGAAAGAGACATCTCAAGTCCAGCAGTTAAACTTATGACATGCCATTTTCTTGGCCAATGTCTTCCTCCTGATTTTGTTAAAAGTGTGACCTGCCCAATCACAGCAAGGCTCCAAACTAAGTGTTTTACCAACTATACCAAAAAATAATTTCAACCGTATCACAGTCAGGATAAACAGTCAAAACATTTTTAGCTTTTTGCTACTGTCATCTATAGTGGTTATTTTGCATAAAAATAAAAGGTTACATTTTTAATTAAAAAAAACAATCTTGGCATTGAAGTTGAATGTTTCATGCATGGGAATGAATAACAAGATAAGTAGCTGATTAAGTTAGCCAGTTGTCCTAAATATTCTTACGGTTGTTTCTCCATGGCTTACTTTAGACTTGCATTTGTGAGAAATTGTGAGCTCTATGTCTTCCCTTCTCACAATGAAGAACTTCCACACCAACATCATGTGTGTGTGTGTGTGTGCGCGTGTGTGTGTGGGGCGTAGACATTATCGTCTGTGCTGCAGTGTGCAGATGTACAACTATCATGCAGCAGTGGCGCAAGTGTGAAAATGGGACTGGCAAGTGTGAAAATGTGCACAAAAAAATAATGAATCGAAAATATGCCACTGGTCATAGCCGATCAGCTGACAACCATCTGCTTCAATAGACAGCAGAGATTCGTCGCTGCATATTCAATATTTAAGTATGAAACTTTTAACGTGCTTACTTTGTTTGAAGGCGTGGTAGACGTTGAGCAGCGTCAAGTGGTCTCCGTCGATGTGAGCAAACCTCATCTTGGACTCGTCTGCTGCCTTCTTAGCCTCCGTGGGTCGGACAAAACACTGTGGGACTAAACAAGGTTGGTATGGGCCCCAACAAAGCCGCCCATAGGGATGAGTCATATATTCAGAGAAAAATGGAGCAAAGCCTATGATGCTAGGGCACTCGACACTGCGTTGGGACAGGGCGGGACCACAAGCTCTATCAAAGGGGGCTGCAGTCTTTTCTCATGGTCAGTCCCAACTGTTATGGCTATTAGCTTGTAGAGAGGGGGTCATTTAACCACATCTGTAAAACAAGAGTTTTCACACAACTACAAAGTGTTAGGGACACCAGCAATGTTTTTACTTTTCAAGATTCAGAAATTTTACTTTTTCGTATAGAGAGATAAGGCTTAAGCTTGTAAGAGAGCAGATAATTGAAATACTTCCAGGCTACATACGATAACTCATAATAATAATAATAATGATAATAATAATGATAACAATTCACAATGCATTATTTAAATGAAAAGAAAATTCTGATTAACGCGATGTATATGAAAAACATTAAGTGATGCCTGCCCTATCCACGGGCTTTGATGAGGAAACACTCTTTTGCTCGTCAATGAACATACTAAACTATCATAGCCTGAAAAAATTACAACCTAAAATTAAAAGTCAATACAAAATTAAAGAGCAGCTTTAAAATGTAAGTGAAGCTGTCCAGAGTGAAAGGCATTCCCAACAAAGGGGAATTCGTGGATTAAAGAGGCTTTTTGATGATGACATAAGAGTTCATGTTGGGGCTGCACAGCTATGACAAAATGGCACGCAGATTTTATTATTCAAATAATAGTGACTATTGTACACAATGTAATCCCTACATAGCATTGCTTAGGAATGATTAAAATTGTTTGTTTAATACTTTGGTCTGCACCTCTAATATGTAAAAAAAACTTCAGTAATACTACATTAAACATACAGTTATGAATAATAGTCCTGCCATCACTTGTTTCAAAACTACCAGCAAGTAGTATTGTGATTAACCCCAAGAGGCTTGGTCTAGAGAAGGCAAGGAAGATGTCAGCCCAGTCCTGGGCATTACCTGACAGCATGGCAGTAATGGAAAGGATCTCGTTAGAGCAGTTAAACTCGCAGCTGGCAATGACCATCTTAGCCAGCTGGGGGTCCAAAGGGAACTCTGCCATCATGGAGCCCAGCTCCGTCAGGTCACCGTCATCGTTGAGAGCTGCGAGGTAATTCAGCAGCTCAAGGGCCCTCATCAGTGTCTCAGGAGCTGCAGAAAGGGAAGAGACCGACAGAAAGG